CCTACAGGTCGGATTTCTTTTCAACTATATATATTGTTTTTAAACATATACTCTCTTTTATTCCAAAATCCAAGAGCCAACATTCAATCTATATGGACATTCAATCCAACAACCAACATTTAATATTTCTTCTAAATGTCAAGCATATTGTTTTTACCTTCATCAGGGTGATGTTGGATGTGGCAAGACTGTGGTAGCGTTTTTAGCATGCATGGAAGTAATTGGCTCGGGGTACCAGGTAATAAATGATTTCTTTAGCTTTATTCTTGAGTTTTATTAGTCAAATGACTTGTGTATTTGATTAAATTACTTCACACCCAGGCAGCTTTTATGGTTCCAACGGAACTGCTAGCTATACAGCATTATGAGCACCTTCTTGGCTTGCTTGAGAAAATAGAAGAGGGTAAGGAAAAACCTTCTGTTGCTCTATTGACAGGCTCAACCCCAAACAAGCAAGCACAATGTGTTCGAAAGGTAGTGCGGATGCAGATTTTGTCCTTGGTTACTGCTGATGTTGCATGATTTCATCTGTCGTTTTTTTTTTGGTAGGGTCTGCAAAATGGTGATATCTCTATAGTAATTGGAACTCATTCTTTAATAGCTGAAAAGGTGGAATTTTCAGCTTTGCGTATTGCGATTGTTGATGAGCAACATCGTTTTGGTGTTGTTCAAAGAGGGCGCTTCAACAGCAAGGTACCCCTCTTTGCTTCCAAACTCTTCTCAAAAAGCCTGTTCTGAGAACGTTGTTACATATTAGCATCAATCTAACGTTGTTACGATAATATCTCCACTTTATGACGTCAAGAATTTACAGCATAGCTATTATCATAACCGCATCATTTTACAGGATCTAAAATATAATGATACATGGGCGTCTTGTATATTTGATTTTTAGTTTCTGATGGGGGTGGAGGGGCTAGACGGACTTTTCTTGATAATCAGAATGGTGGTTCTGTTTCTTTAATTGGAAAAACCAGGATTGGTAGTATTAATTGATAATTTGCAATGGAGTACAAGTCGCATCTTGTTTCATCGTAGTGAAAATTCTTATCAAGTTACGAGGTGTATCTAATGTAATCGTATTGGGTTGTATGATTAACTCATGATTTTACGATCTCGTGATTTTGCAGTTATACTTTAACAGCTTAGCTTCACAACTAAAATCGAGTTCAAATGACTCCGTGGAAAATGATGTTGTCATGGCTCCACATGTTCTGGCAATGTCAGCCACACCAATTCCGAGGTCGCTTGCTTTGGCGTTGTATGGAGACATGTCCCTAACACAAGTATATGTTCTTTACTTTTTTTTTACATACAAACTTATAGTTTTTATCTGACATCTTAATCATTTGTTTCATTTCAAGGAAAATATTAATTTCCAATAACCCCCTGAGATATGTCTAAATTATAAAAAAATCCCTTGTTTGTAAATTACATTTATCCCTTCAAAGTGACGGCCTGTCACAATCCCTAACAGAGATCGTAAAATATCTAAAACATATGTTAACACTGAATTGTTTGTGATACCCTTCGTTATTGTTGAAGAACACAGAGGTTTTGTGAAATCTTCCTCGTGTGTCACCAAAATATAGAAGGTATTCTGAAACATTCTACTCAGATGTACATTTATTGTCATTCATGGTCGTAACGATGACCATTTTAATGGAAACAAAGCTGACTGTCAAAGTTAGGCACACGCAATACGTTTTTTTTTTCTTGCTTTTACTGTAATTTGAGATGTGCTAATAGAGGATGTGCATGTCAACGTGATAACACGATAGAGAATAAGCAAATGAAGTTGGAGACAAAAAATCAGCCATGCAATAAATACCAGTGTCCCATCAGTGTGTCGTGCTAATTTTTTTAGTCCGTGCTAATTTTTTTATTCTGGAATTCTTATACATGAATCAACTATCCTATTTTCTATAAGTTATTTGAATATCTTTTAAGTAGCTTTTCTTGGTCATTGAATGACAGATTACCGATTTACCTCCTGGAAGAACACCTGTTAAGACATACGTTATTGAAGGAGATGAAGTCGGTTTTGAGAGGGCTTATCAGGTAATTTAATTTAATATAAAAACAGTTCTATATGTTCGTGATGTTGTTGCTAATTCATGAATGTATATAAATACAAGTTTCACTTCGTTTAGGCATAACATGCATTAGTTTCCTATGCAAATATCTGCTTTGATTATATTTGACACCCTGCTTCAACTGTTGCAGATGATGTTTGAGGAATTGGAGGGAGGAGGCAAAATATATATTGTCTATCCCGTAATTCAGCAGTCCGAGCAACTCCCTCAACTCCGTGCCGCTTCAGCTGATTTCGAATACATTTCCAATAAATTTTCTAATTACAAATGTGGATTGCTCCATGGGAGAATGAAAAGTGACGAAAAGGATGAAGCACTGAGGGCGTTCAGATCCGGAGAAACGAATATACTTCTCTCCACACAAGTGATTGAGATTGGAGTGGATGTACCGGATGCATCGATGA